AAAAAAAAGAAAGGAAAAAAAAAAAATAATAAATCCACTGCCATCAAGTCAATTCCAATTCATAGCAAACCACAGAGTTTCCAAGGCTGTAAATCCTTATGGAAATAGATTGCCTCATCCTCCTCCCATGGAGCAACTGGTGGATTTGAATGACAGACCTTCTGGTTAGCAGCCAAATGCCTTAACCATTGCACCACCAGAGCTCCTTTCTAGTTAATAATAGCAACTTGGAAGCGGAGTATTAGGAGTCATTTGAAGGAGAGGGTAAAACTAAGCTGCAAGTTGGGCCCATTATCCATCCTTAATACTATTTTAAAATTTATGTTCTAGTACCATTTAGCAAGTTTTGATTTAAAATAGCATGATTTAACGGTCAGTCAAAGTTTCGGGGCTTTCCATCGCTATAGGGTCATTAGGAGTTGGAATCAACTTGACAGCACATGGCTTTTATAATAGCACATGATAACAATAACATGGCTTTTTGCCTGGTTTTCTCCACTGTTCACCCCAGCCAGCACCTGGACACACACACACCCCAAACACAGAGAAAATTATAGATACACATACAGATCAATCTGTCTAGACTATAACAACCTCTTGATATTGTAATGTCTTAAATAAAGGTCATGTATCTGAACTAAACCTGCTGCAAATTTGCATGCGTAAGGCCTGCAGACAGTACTGCTTGAGAATAAGCATGTTATAAACAATCCATTTGAATAAAGATAATAAGGAATAGATGCTGTCATTTCATTTTATCAAACAGTATTTTGTAATAGAATATCAAACATTGTGAAAAGAATTATATTATGCATAGATGTTACTGCAATGATATTTATGATGTTAGGAATTTTCTACATAATAAAGAAATAATAGATACTGCAAAAATCATAGATCATGTGGATTTTGTGTTGCTGACAATGTCTGCACAGTTAAAGTGTGTATTTTGATGATAATGATTGAGGGTGTGTATAGTTTTTTTGTTTGTAAGTTATTTTGGAAGAATGTTTGCTGGAATAAAAACTGGAAAAATTAAAATATGTTATTTGTTAGAAAATAGAATCTCTCTATTCTTGAGAATGCAGTTTGCCTGAAACATTACTGATTTGATCATTTGTATTTCATTGCAGGATTTCCAGTGTCGAACTACACTTCAAGAGCTAAATCCAATTCCTCCTATATTAGAGCTCCTGAAGTCAGAATATCCAATTATTCAGTTGTTGGCTCTCAAAACCTTAGGTGTTATTACAAATGATAAGGAGTCTAGAGCAATGCTAAGAGACAATCAAGGATTGGACCCCCTTATTAAGATCCTAGAAGCAAAGGTATTTGCAACATCCATTCAACTATCTCTGATGAAAATGCATCTCTCCTAAATTTTGTTATAAAATGTAAATTGTGGAGTATTTTTTAAAATGAAACTTTATAACATTTGATTGTTATTAAATACACAGTGGACTAATTTGTTTAGTGTTACATAAAGTTTATTCACTTGGTTAAATTATACTAATCGAGAAGGCCATTATAAATTGCCGAAAAAGTCTTCTGCTTTAGAAGATGTAATTTCTTAAATTCTTCTTTCTGATCTCCTTCATGTTTCCTGAAACACCTAGAATTAGGTTTTTTTTTTAAAAAATAACTTTTGGCTGCCATGGTTTTCTTTGGAGTAAAGCAAGAATAACTTATCTCCTTAGACATATTTTGAGAAATATTGGAGCTAAATTTCTGTGGTGGCTAGTATTTTTCTTAGGAATGAATTAGACACTTTAAGAATATTTCTGCCTTGTTTTAGACCCCTCCAGTGCCTAAGGCTAAGACTGCTAACCAAAAGGCTGGTGGTTCAAACCCACCAGCCACTCCTCAGAAGGAAGATTGAGCAATCTACTTCTGTAGAGATACTGCCTCAGAAACCCACGGAGGGGTCACTATGAGTCAAATTGACTCGATGGCAATGAGTTTGGGTTTTTTTTTTTTTTTTGGTTTTAGTTATAAAAAGCTAATCGTGTATTTTATTGAATACCATTTAATTGACCTGAAGTGGTTCAGATAGTTCCTGAAAGTGTCCAGTGTCTTAACTACAGAATGAAATGGGAAGAGATAGAAGCACTGTTTTCAGATCCACTTACCCCTAATTTAAAAATTTAGGGAATAAAATTAACTCTTGTAACAGAAATCTACTCTTAGGACTCTTAGAAATTCAGGAAATACGGACAATTTGAAGGAAGCCGTTATCTCTGAATAACAACATTGTATTAAAATTTAAACTACTCAGTAATGGTGTTTCTTTTTTTAATAACAGAACCTTGAAGTAATAATAAAAATGCAGAACTGGGAAGATAAATTCTGAAATGCATTAATTGCACAAGTATGCTTGATAGCCGTGTATGTGTACCTAGCCAGTTTGGATTTGTTGATCATTTACTATGTGCAGAGTTCTATGTTAGGCATTTTATGTTTATGATATAGAATTCCAGTAACACTGTACAGTACATATTTTTATTTTTATAAATGGAAACTGAAACTTCAAGCTTAATTTGCTCTGTGTTAAATAGATAGTGATTAATGACAGAAAAGAACCCAGGTTAGTGTGCTATGTCCTAGTATTCTCACCTGCCTGAAATTCCACTTGTCTTCTTTTAATCCCACCAATCAAATTTGAGAGTGACTGCTTCTTTTCCTGCTTTCCAACATTGGATATTATTAGTCTTTTTACAAAGTTTTGCCAGTCTTAGGATGAGGAGGCATCATTTTTGTTGATAACTATTTCCCTAGTAACAAGCGGTTTGACAACTTTTCTTTTGTGTCCATTAGGATTTTCTTTTCTACAACAAGATTAGATATATTTTTCTTTTCCTTCCAAGTTATAGTAGGAATTAAAATTTGTGACTCTGTTACATTTGTTTACCTCTGCTTTCTTTAGTTCATCAATCTCTTTTGTATTCACTTTTCATTTTGTAAAATGTCTTTATTTTGCCATCTTCTCTGAATGACATTTTGCCTGGGCATAATCATTTTCCCTCTGAACATTCAGAGCTTTGCTGCATTGTCTTCTTGCATCCAGTACTGCAATGAAAAGTCTTATAATAATCTAGATTTCATTCTTTTCTAGTTCATCTGTTTAATCCTTCTGGAAACATTGATTTTTTTTTTTTTTTCATCTTTGACATTCTCTGACCAGTTGAAACTTTTTGTTGTTAGAAGCATAAGGATTTAAAAGCATTATAACTTCTTGTTAAATTATACCTTGTCTTTATTAAATATTATGGCTTTCCCCACCCCCTCAAAAAAACCACCTTGTGTCAGATTTTCACACTTTCACTCTACCATTCTCTTCATTGAAATCATCTGGAATTTTAGTTCGATTTAGTATTTATTTCTCTTACATTACACATGGGAGCTCTGGTAGTGTAGTGCCTAAGGCACTTGACTGCTAACCAGAAGGCTGGCCGTTCAAACCCACCAGCCACTCCTCAGAAGGAAGATGGGGCAATCTACTTTCGTAGTGATATTGCCTTGGAAACCCAAAGATGGGTCTCTATGAGTCGGGTCCAACTCGATGGCACATAACAACAACAACATTACACATAAACTTATTTTAGTGGTATGTATGCTTACCAACCAACAAAAAAACAAACCCAACCCAACCCACTGCCATCAAGTCTATTCTGACTCATAGTGACCCTATAAGACAAAGTACAGAACTACTCTATAGTTTCCAGCACTGTAAAGCTTTATAGAAGCAAATTGCCACATCTTGCTCCCATAGAGCAGCTGGTGAGTTTGAACTACCGACCTTTTGTTTACCAGCTGAGTGCTTAACCACTGTACCACCAGGGCTCCTCCTTAACTCACTATTGCTTTTTTTATCCTATAAGTTCCTCATCCTTGAAATTATTTTTCCTGAAGTGTATCCTAGGTTATTTCTTTTAAAGACAATCTGTGACTAAATAACTTTGAATACTTGCATGTTCAAAAATAATCTTAATTTTTGCTTTTCTACTTAAATGTTATTTTGGCCAGGAACACAATTTTATTTTTCATTTTCCTTTAAAACTATGAAGATAATGCTTTCTTTCTTTCATCTGTTGTTCCAGTTGGAATTCTGATGCCAATCTGATTCTAGCTTCTGTACAAGTAAATTATTTCTTTCTCAATGGGAGCTTTCAATATTAGCTTTATGTCTTCAGTGTTTTGAAATTTCATCATGATGTGTATAAAGTTGTAAATCCTTATTTTTAAAATTATTCATCCTGTTTAGCTGGACCCTTTCAAACTGAGGACTTTTTTTCAGTTGGGCAATATTTTGAATGAATGGCTTTGATTATTTTTGCTTCATTCTTTCTAGAATTGCTTTTATAAGGATGTTGGATCTTCCAAATCAATTCTATTTTTATACTGTCATACTTTCTATTAGCCCTTTAGCTTGCTTTCTTGAAGAATCCTTGGACAATATCTTATAGCTCACTATTTTATGCTAAAGCTTAGTTCATTTTGCTATTCAGCCATTTATTGAAATTTTTATTTCAATTAATATTTTTAATTTCTGAGATCTCTAGTTAATTCATTCTTTTGATGAAATAATAGCCTCCTTGAATCGCTCTAAGATATTGTTTACTTATTTTAAAATTTTGTTTCCTTAGTAACTTTGTTGACAGCAATATTTGCTTGACTGTTATCTGTCTGGTATCATTGTGCTTGATAATTTCCATTTGTCTGTAGATTAAAAATTCACAGGGACTTAGCTCCAGTTATTATTGTCATGGAACAGGATGTACTGTGTGGTGGGGTGTGCCAGTAGCTGCTGCAGTGGGGCTCCCCATTCTTCCTAGCATCACTGGCTATCTGGGTCACTGTTTACCTTTCCAGCTAGGCATTCACATTCTTTGGTTTAGCCTCTTGTTATCTTCTCTGCTGTCCACTGCAGAGGAACAGGGAGGCAGAAGGGGCTCCTGTCAGCTCCCAGTACAGTTCTCAAATAATCATTCCAGTGATTGCCTCACATCTCCCTCCTTATTTGTCTGTCCATTAACTCTGATCTTGGCACAGCCTCTGTCACTGCTCCTACTTCTACAACTCTCTCCTCACACACATGTTTATACACATTTAAAATTATGCCTTCTTCATAAGGCTACATCTTTCTGCTTTCTTTATTTCAGTATTCCCTCCAAATTCATGATTTATTAATAGAACTCTTTCTCATATTCAGGACTTCTACGAATCAGTTTCGGAAAGTCAAATATTAATACTCAGTCTTCCTACCCATAGCCATGTTACATCTCTCCATTTGTTTAGGCCTCCTTTCATTTCTTTAAAAAATGTTTTATATCTTTCAGAGTACAGATTTTGCACACATTTTATTAAATTTATCTCTGTGCAGTTCATATTTTGGAAATGTATTGTGAATTAAATTACATTTTTTATTTTACTTTTTAGTTGTTCATTGCTAGTATTTAGAATGTAATTGACTTTTAGATATTTAAGTTTTATTCAGGGACCTTACTGGACCTACTATTAGTTTTACCTTTTTTTAGGCTCACTAGGATTTTCTGATTATTAACTATGAATATAGCTGTAGGTTTTTCAAATTGATGAAGTTCCCTTTTATTTTTAGTTTGCTCAGAGTTTTTATTATGGGTGGGTGCTGATTTTTTTAAATGCCTTTCTCTGAGTCAAATGAGAAGATTATTTAGTTTTTTTCCTTTATTCTGTTAATATGGTGACTTAAACTGATTTTCAAATACTAAACCACCTTGCATTCCTGTTCCTGGAATAAGCTTCCACTTGCTCATTTTATATATTGTTGGATACAATTTGCTGTTACCTTTTTTATTTATTTTTTAAACTTTTTATTGTGATGTGGGTGAAAGTTTACAGAACAAATGGGATTTCCAATCAACAACTGATGTACATTTTGTTTTGTGACATTGATTGCAATCCCCACAATGTAACAGCACTCTTCCCACTTCCTGCCTACCTGAGTTTCCCATTTCCATTCATCCTTTCCTATCTCTTCCTGCCTTCTGAGCTTTATCCTTGGGCACATGCTACTCCTTTGATCTCTTGTGGTTGATTGTTCTAAGGGGTACTGTGGTGGTTATGTTGTGTGTCAACTTGGCTGGGTCTGGTTGAGTGGCTGGGCAGCTGGTGGTAGTTATTCCCCATGATGAGACTGGCAATCAGTCCATGGTGGGATCTACCATAAGCAGCTGAGTAGCTGCCTTTGGAATGTGGTCTGCTTCCTGTATGTAAGGAGATGCCTTGGGAATGGTTTCTAGCTTAGGGCATGCTTGAACCCTGTATGTAACTGTGTCATTGCTCAGCAGCCTGCCATGCTCTGTTGACCTGGGGATTTTCAATAGACTTAAATTAATGGCCTGCCATGTGGTTTGGTAACATCAGGACTGTGCCTTTTTACTTGTCAACCTTGGGCTTGTCAGTCTCAGCAGCCAGCAGCTGTCTAAGTGAAGAAACACCTCTAGCTCCAGTGGGCCGGGAGCAGGAGTCAGAGCTGGACCTCAAGGTTGAGGGGCTTTCACCCAGCCCCGAGAGCCTGGCACTTTGAACTTGGACTTAAAGCCTCCGAACTGTAAGAGAATAAACTCCTGTTCGTTAAGGCCGTCCCATTTGTGGTATATTCTTGTCAGAGCAGCACTAGGTAACCAGGTACGTACCTTCCTGGTGTTACTGTTCACTTTGTAGGCCTATTTATTGTTTGGCTGAAAGCTGAGCCACAGGCATGAGGGCAGTTCTAGGCTTGAAGGATCTCTAAGGAACCTACTCTCGGAGGTTCCACCAGTCTCTATCAGACCAGTAAGCCTTTTTTATTTTTTTAATGATTTGGAGTTTTCTTCCACATTTTTCTCCCACTCTATCTAAGACCTTGTACTGTGATCCCTTTCAGAGTGGTTGGCAGTGGTAGCCAGGTACCACCTAATTCTTCTAGTGTCAGAGTCATGGAGACTGAGGTTCTCATGGCCCATTGGTCCTTTGGACTAATTGTTTCCATATGTCTTTGATTTTTTTCACTCTGCTTTGCTTTGGATAGGGAGAGACCAATAGTTGAACCTTAGATGGCTGCTTGCAAGCTTTTAAGACCCCAGTTGCTACTCACCAAAGTAGGATGTAGAACATTGTCTTTGCAGACTTTTATGCCAGGTGACCTTGCCGCCCCCCAAGACTTTAGTCCTGAGTCCCCAGGCCCAGTTTTGCTGATATTTTATTAAAGATTTTCAGATCTATGTTCATGAGCAATGCTTGTTTGTAATTTTCCTTTTTTATGTGTATATATCATTGTTGGATTTTAGTATCAGAGTAAACTGGCCTTTAAAATGAGTTAGGAAGGATTACTTCCTTTTCTGTTTTCTGAAAGAATCTGTGTAAGACTGATACAATTTTATCCTTAAATGTTTGATATAGAATTTACCTGTGAAGCTATATAGGCCTGGAATTTAACTAATGAGAAGGTTTTTGTTACAAATTCAATGTTTTAAATAAGCTATAAGGATATTCAGAGATTCTTTTTTTCCTTGTGTCTGTTTTCATTGTCTGTGTTTTTCAAAGAATTTGGTTGTCCATTCCATTTAAACTTTCTAGTTTACTGGATTAATACTGTTTATAATATTCCCTTTTCATGCTTGTCTTGTATATGAGATCTGTAGTAGAACTCCCAATATCATTATTAATATTGGTAATTTGTATTTTCCCTTGCTCAGTTGATATGTTGTTGTTTTTACGTGCTGTCAAGTTGGACCCGACTCATAGCGACCCCTCCTTGGGTTTCTGAGGCAGTATCACTACGGAAGTAGATTGTCCCACCTTCCTTCTGAGTATAGTGATTTATTATTTAAATATATATATATATATATATATACACACACACACACATACATATGTATATGTGTATGTATGTGTGTGTGTATGTGTATTTTTTCCAAAGAACTAATCTTTGTTTTCACTGATTTTCTCTATTGTTTGTTTCTGTTTCATTGACTTCTTTTTTTACCTTTATTTTCTTCCTCCAATTTACTTTACCTTTAATTTGTTCTTTTTTTCATATTTTCCTAAGAAGATACCCACTGCCATCAAGTAGATTCTGACTCATAGTGACTCCTGTTGGGTTTCTAAGGCTGTAAATATTTATGGAAGTAGATTGCTCCTGTAGAGCAGCTGGTGGGTTTGAACTGCCAACCTTCTGGTTAGCAGCCAAATGCCTTACCCACTATGGCTTCAGAGCTCCTTTCTTAAGAAGATAGCTAGGGTCAATTTTAGACCTTTGGTATTTTCTGGTATAGGCATTTTAAGGTATAAATTTCCCTCTACGCACTACTTTAGCTATATCCCATAAATTATGGTATGTTCTATTTTCATTATCATTCAGTTCTCATTTCCCTTGTGATTTGTTCTTTGGCCTATTGGTTGTTTCTTCTTGTTAGGTGCTGTCAAGTTGGCTCCAACTCATAGCGACCCTATGTACAACAAAATGAAATACTGCCCGGTCCTGCGCCAGCCTCATAATATTTGCCATACCTGAGCCCATCGCTGCAGCCACTGTGTCAATCCATCTTGTTAAGGGCCTTCCCCTTTGGGGTTGACACCCCACTTTACCAAGCATATCCTTCTCCAGGGAATGGTCACTTCTGACAACATGACCAAAGCAGGTCAGATGAAGTCTGGCCATTCTTGCTTCCAAGGAACAATCTGGCTGCACTTCTTCCAGGACAGATTTTTTAGTTCTTTTAGCAGTCCATCATACTTTCAGTATTCTTCACCAACAACACAACTCAAATGCATCAGCTTTTCTTCAGTCTTCCTTATTCATTGTACAGCTTTCATATGCATGTGGGGTGATTGAAAATACCATGGCTTGGTTTAGGCGCACCTTAGTCTTCAAAGAGACATCTTTACTCTTCAGAACTTTAAAGAGGTCTTTTGCAGCACATTTCCCCAGTGCAATATGTCATCTAATATCTTGACTACTGCTTCCATTGGTATTGATTGTGGAACCAAGTAATATGAAATCTTTGGTAACTTCAATCTTTTCTCCATTTATTGTGATGCTGTTTATTGGCCCAGTTGTGAGGATTTTCGTTTTATGCTGAGGTATAATCCATACAGCAGCTGTAGTCTTTGATCTTCATCAGTAAGTGTTTCAAGCCATGCTCACTTTCAGCAAGCAAGGTTGTGTCATCCGTGTATCACAAGTTATTAATAAGTCTTCCTCCAATCCTGATGTCATGCTCTTCTTCATATAGTCCAGCTTCTCAGATTATTTGCTCAGCATGCAGATTGAGTAAGTATGGTGAAAGGAGACAACACTGATGCACTCCCTTCCTGATTTTAGACGTGAGTTATTTAATTGCAAATACTTAATTTTTCTAGATTCCTTATAGTAGCTGATTTCTAATTTAATTCTACTCTGGTGGTATAATGCCTAAGGCATTTGACTGCTAACCACAAGGTTGGTGGTTCAAATCTATCAGCCACTCCTTGGAAGGAAATTGGGCAATCTACTTCTATAGTGATACTACCTCGGAAACCCAAGGAGGGGTCGCTATGAGTCAGATCCCACTTAATCGCAGTGAGTTTGGTTTTTTTGGTACAATCAGAGAACATTTTCTGTAAGATTTCAGTCTTTTGAAATCTACTTAGACTTGTTTTATATTATTGATCTTGGTGAATGGAAAGGATGTGTTATTTTGTTTTGAAATTTAATGTCCTATACATGGCAGGTAGGTTAAAGTGGTTGTTAAACTCACTGCCATTGAGTCAATTTGAGTTTCTGAGGTGGTAAATCTTTATGGAAGTAGAATGCCCAGTCTTCCTTCCATGGAGTGGCTGGTGGGTTTGAACTGCCAACCTTCTGGTTAGTAGACAAATGCCTTAGGCACTACTCTATCAGAGCTCCTGGTGGTTGACAGTGTCATTCAAATCTTCTATATCCCTAGTGACTTTTGGTCTAGTTGGTTCCCCACCCCACTCCAAATCAATTACTGAAACAGGTCTGTTAAATCTTCCACTGTTGTGTAGAATTTGGCTGTTTCTCTGTTTGGTTTAGTTAGTTTTGCCTCTTATAATTTGAAGCTGTGTTACCAAGTGCATATACATTTTTAAATGTTTTTATTTTCTTAATATATTGACCCTTTTATTATTATTAATTTTTCTTCTTTGTCTCTTGTAAAACTCTTTGTCTTGAAGTTTGTTTTATCTGGTCACCTTGTACTGCTCCTTCTTTCAAAAACAGGATGTCTTCCTGTCTCTCTCTCCCTCTCTCTTTTTTTTTAAAAGCAAAGTCCGTGGGATCTCCTCTACTCATATTTGGTTTAGTGGTCACCCTGAGATTTAAGTATATAGTTTGTACTCAGATTTTGAGTTACATCCCTTCTGTGTTTCTCTCACTTCCAGGATTTCCCCCTTATATTACTAGCTATTCCGGTAAGGCTATGGTTGTCTATAGTTCTGAAGGTTAGGGAGATTTCTCAAGCAAGAAAGCCACAAACTCACAATACTTCTTCCTTTCAGCTGCAGAATTTAAAGAATACACTTTCCTTCAACTTCTGTTTTTGAATGTATTCAGTGACTTCGAATAGTACTTTTAAAAATATTTCTTCCAGATTTAAAAATCACTATTGGTAGAGGTTATGTAAACAACTCAACTCCACTGTCATTTTTGGACACTTCCTCTGTAGCATTATTTTTTTATCCATAAAACATTTTGGAATAGGAAATGAGAAGGGATGGGGGATATAGCTAAGGAGAATGATATTACTTTAATAAACAGAACTCTTATTTTCTCAGGCTTCTGTCACAATAAAATTAATTACATTATGTTCAGACTGACCTACCAAACCAAACCAAACTCATTGCCTTTGAGTCAATTCTGACTCACAGTGACCCCTCCTTGGGTTTCCAAGGTAGTATCTCTATGGAAGTAACTTACGCAGTCATCCCTCATATAGGAAATTTGGAAAGTCATTCTTTCTAAAGTTGTGTTTGCTTTTATTATTAGGACTTGAATGACCTTCATATAGAAGCACTGTCAGTGATAGCCAATTGCCTTGAAGATATGGATACTATGGTGCTAATTCAGCAGACAGGGGGTCTTAAAAAGCTCCTAATGTTTGCAGAAAACTCTACAATCCCTGATATCCAGAAGAATGCAGCAAAAGCCATCACCAAAGCAGCTTATGATCGTATGTCTTGTTTTATATAAACTAAGCATACATACCTCTTCTTATATTCTTGGTTTTGATTAACAACAATAGAGTAATTGTCTGCTTTTAAATAACTATTTGGGAGTAGTTTTATAATTATTACTTAAGACCAAAACTCACCTCAATGCCAGTGAGTTAGAGATTGTTTTGTCAGGGATAATAAGCTCAAGAGGATTGCATTATAATACAACCTTTTTTTAAAAAAAAAAAATAATAATCAGTCCTAAACTAAGTCTTAAGCCTTTATTTCTCTTGAACTTAAAATTATATCGAATGTATATTGTTTGTGATTCTGAAACCTTTGTTTATATAAATCTGCATTTGGAATGATACCCATATGGTAATTTTCCAGGTTCAGCTAGAGTCTAGTAGTGTCATGTTACATAGCTATGAGAAGCAGTATGCTCATACTATATACATAAAAAGATTTTCATTTTGGTGACAAGCTATGTCGATATAAATCTGTAAAATATGAGAGATTATTCACATCATGAACACCAAAAAGGAAATTATAGCTTTAATTTATGTATATTTGGAGTATTAATACAAAATGTGATTTTATTTTCCCCCTTCTGCATCACTTCTTTTACAAATGACGACAGCTTTTCCTATTTTATATGATTTATATTCTAAACATAAATAATCACACCTATATATATGTCTATGTGTATATTATGGAAAACATTTTCTTTTTCAACCCATACTGGATTTCTTTAAGGAAGACTTTGAATACTGGAATCAAAATTCACGTTACACAGTCAACATAGCGGGGCTTCGTGAGTTACATTATAAATGTAAAATCTAAAGATAGACTATGAAATTAAGATTTTTAACATTGGTTAATGTTGGCTTATGCTGAATTTTGTCAAATGGAACTTAGACATTATTATAGTTGCTCAGTTCTATTTCCCATCCATTATAGACCTTCACAGCTAGCTGAGACCTCGAGAGAGGTGTAATGGCAAGGCATGGACGATGTCAAACCTAAAATTTGCAAATCACATCTTTTCTTTGGTCTGGTGTGGCTTAGTCATTCTAAGCTTGCTCCAACCCCTCTTGAGGTATTGATTTTCATGGGACATTGTCGTTGTTGTTGTTAAGTGCCGTCGAGTCGTTTCCGACTCATAGCGACCCCATGCACAGCAGAACGAAACACTGCCCGATCCCGCGCCAGCCCCACAATCCCTGCTGTACTTGACCCCATCATGCGGCCACTGTATCAATCCATCTCCCTGAAGGCCTCCCCCTCTTTCGTCGACCCTCCACCCTACCAAGCATGACATCCTTCTCCAGGGAATGGTCCCTTCTTACAACATGACCAAAATAGGTGAGACGAAGTCTGGCCATTCTTGCTTCCAAGGAGCATTCTGGCTGCACTTCCTCCAGGACAGATCTGTTAGTTCTTTTAGCAGTCCACGGTACTTTCAGCATTCTTCACCAACACCACAACTCAAAAGCATCAACTCTTCTTCGGTCTTCCCTATTCATTGTCCAGCTCTCACATGCATACAAGGCGATTGGAAATATCATGGCTTGTGTCAGGCACACCTTAGTCCTCAAGGAGATATCCTTGCTCCTCAGCACTTGAAACAGTTCCTTCGCAGTTGACTTTCCCAATGCTACACGTCCTCTAATGTCCTGACTGCTGCTTCCGTTGGCATCGATTGTAGAACCAAGCAATGTGAATTCCTTGACAACCTCAATCTTCTCTCCATTTATTAGGAGTGGCAAAACACTGGGCAGAGAATTCCTAGTATTGTAGTTCTAGTACTAGTTCAACTCCTGGCTCTACAGAGACTAGTTATGTGACTGTGAATGAGCTTGAGTTTCTTTAAGAATCTGATGAAAGAAATGCACAGATGTACAACATTCTGCATAGAAGTTCAGAGAGGTCAGGACTGCCTGAAGCCCATCTATGGCCCGTGAATCCTTGTACCCAACGTTAAGACCTTTTGGCCTAAGATAAAGCAAGATAAAGGTCACATGACCTAGCTTGACATTAGAGCTTCTTATATTTTACACAGCCATGTGGCCATTGGTTTTTAATTTATTCCTGCTCAGATATTCTCCATTGTGCTCTGAAGTGTATAACTTATGCTAAACCATAATATTGGACACATTTGTTCAGATTAGGTCCTTCATTCAGATGTTGGAAATACAAAATTCAAAAAAAATCACTCAGATTCAGATTTTGGAAATCCTGTTTTAACCTATCGATATACATGGTCCTCAGCAATTTAATAGGTTTAGAGGGAAAGTCAAAATTTCAAACTTCAGTGTTTTTGGTTTTAAAATAATCTATTGAGATAAAATTCACATAACATAAAATTAACTATTTTAAAGTGAGAAATTCAGTGGTATTTACAATGTTGTGTAATCACCACTTCTGTCTAGTTTCAAAACATTTCTATCATTCAAAAAGAAAAAAAAAAAATCTTGTAACCATTAAGCAGTTTCTTCCCCATTTCCTTTTCTCCCTAGCCCCTAGAAACTACTAACCTTTCTATCTCTAAGGAACTGTCTATTCTAGATGTTTCATATAAGTGGAATCATAGAATATGTGCCCTTTCATGACTGGCTTCTTTCACTTAGCATAATGTTTTCAAAGTTCATCTATGTTGTAGCATGGATCAATACATGTGCAATACTCTATTGGATATGTGTACTACAAACTATCCATTCATCTGTTAACAGACACTTGGGCTTTTTCTATATTTTCCACATTAGGCTGTTTCCATATTTTACCTATTGTGAATAGTGCTGCAGTGAACATTGGTGTACATGTACCTGTTTGTGTTCCTGTTTTCAGTTTTTTTTTTTGGTATGTACCAAGGTATGGAATTACAGAATCAGATGGCAATTCTGTGTTTAACTTTTTGAGCAACTGCCAAACTGTTTTCCACAGTTCAGAGCACAATGGCTGAACTATTTTACATTCCAACCAGAATTGTACAAGGGTTCCTATTTTCCACATCCACACCAACTCCATTGCTTTTTGAGGTATGAATAAAATAAATGGTTTCTCTTCCTGCCTTTGAGAAATTTTTTTAAAATGTAGTTTCTCATGGTTTAACCTAGTGTAGCCCACTCTGCCTTAAATAAACTGTCAATTTCCTCACACCATAACCCTTATCTATCTCTGTTAAGGTAGATTAAAGGAACAACATATACATAAACTAGGGTGATTTGATCCAGCTTTTAGAAGACCAAGCAAGCACAGCACAAAAATAACTACCATTGTTTAGCCAAACCAAAACCAAAACCATTGTTTAGCAGAAGGTCCAATTTCCAGATGGAAAGAAAATTACACCTATCCTAGTATCACTAACCAACTGCCCATCTGCACTGCACTCAGTATGCCTCCTTCACCATTGTCTTGCAGGCTTCGTCTAATACTGTAAAGGCTTACAATTTATAATCCAGCTTTCTCAACTGGTAACCTTCCTCCATCCTCTCTGGCATAGTGTCCTTCCTTCCAAAGTGTTTGACCTTTGCTGACTGTACAAACACTGGAAAAGTATGTAAGGAAATCTTCAAATCTACTGGATGCAGAGGTGGTTTAGTTCCTGATAGCCTGTTGTTGTTATGTGCCATCAAGTCGGACCCGACTCATAGCGGTGACTCCTTGGGTTTTCGAGGCAGTATCACTATGGAAGTAGATTGCCCCATCTTTCTTCGGAAAAGTGGCCGGTGGGTTTGAACCTCCAGCCTTCTGGTTAGCAGTCAAGTGCCTTAGCCACTATGCTACCAGAGCTCCTAAGAGATGTCATGTCTGAAAGATTGATTCTTGGAGCCTCCAGAAAGATACATGATTCTACAAAGATTGAAACTTTCTCTCTGTCCACATATCCCAATAAATCCTCAGGAGCACACATTCTCTTGACTGAGGCCAGAGCTTTGAGGAAATCTCTCTATTACAGTCTTATCCAGAAGCAGAATTCCCTGCAGGACTCTGAATTGTCTTAGCTATAACATGGTGGACTAGAGCTGCCCATCGCTGACTGGAACACAATACTAGGACAGAACCAATATCCTGTTACCTAGGGCAAGTGCTAGAGGATGGTTAGCATCTTTCTCATTTACCTAATCATTATCTTCTATTTTTGTTGATGTATTTACCTCTTAACTCTCTTTACCTGGACAAATTCACAATAGTCACCTTTTCCTCTCTGCCTGGATTCTAGCCTCTGCTTTCGTTTCAGATCCTCCCTATATTTCTTTTCTGCTCCTTTTTGTATGAACTTGTTGCCTGCCTTATCTCTTACCTGCCAGACTCAGCCAGCTTAACTAGACATAAGTCTTATTTTATGTTAGTTACAAAGATAAATTCTGAAAGTTTAACAAGAATTAACATAGTTCTTAGAGCTTAATATTTCTGTATTAAAAGGGAAAAATCATGAAGATGTTTTAAATAATTTTCCAGTTAGAAAACTCCATTCATATGTAGGTTTAGACAAATGTTCTCCTTATACTGTTATCAATAATGTAACAATCAGTATTAACGTTTTCTTTTACTTTTTATCACCATCAAATCTTTTTTTCTTTTTTAAAAAAAGGCTAGGTAATGCATTTTCAGTTTCAAAAACACAGCTGAACACAAATACATAATACATATTTTTAAAATTAATTTTTTAAAAATTTGTTGAAAATATTCACAATAAAACATACACCCATGCAACAATTTTTACATGTACAAGTTCACTGACAGTGGTCAAATACTTCACAGTATGTCACCATTCTCCTTCTCTGTCCATATTGTTTAACCACCATTAACTTAGACTCTCTCTCTGCTCCTTAGAGTTCTCGTCTGTGTTTCAGAGTTACTTTTGTCCATTTCATATCATATAGACAATTCTTTAAAAGAGCTCAATGCTCAAGGTGAACATTGTTAACTAAATGAGCTCAACTGCTGGTTAGTTTATAATTCACATTCTTAAACAAAGTTGTGTTTTGCTGAGTAAAGTTCCTGAGTAAAGTTTCTACCCCCACTGTGGAAAGCCCAAATCAATATGCCTTTGACCTGGCATCAGTAGGAGGAAGATGTTAATTACCATGTTTCCATAAGTTTATGAACTGGCATTAACATCTCAGCAGGTGGATGGCACAATACTAACTCCCGAAAATGGGTGAAGAAAAGCATCGTTAAGTACAAATTTATTTTTCAGTTACAAAATCTCATTTTATATTTAGTGATACTGAAAAAAATGTCATTTTTAAAAGATTTTACTCTATTAGTAGCATAACTAGCTTACCATCTTTATTATTTGTGTGATTAAAACATAAATACTTTACTTCCAAGTACAGCAATTCAATAAAGGTACTTGGCTAATACGTTAATTCATCTTTTAAATCTATTATAGCTACACTGCAGTCAGCACTTTGGAGGTTTGATGAACACAGCTGGATTTTCAGAATATTCCCAGCAGGGTTGAGAAACTAATTGCCCACAGCATTTATTTAAATTATTTCTTAAAATATTTCTAATAATTATATATATTGTTTTCTGAATGTAATAATTACATACTCTAAAGTTAGTCGTTCAAATTAATTCTTTTGGCGGATTTTCCTGATAGAAACCATGCTAAGAGCCTGTTTAGGAAGGTTGATTTAGAGACATTAGGGAAGTTTTAATTATAAATCAAAGCATTTTAGGTGAGATACTCTAGAAATGTTCCAGATATAATATATTCAGTGAAAACTAATAATGACTATATATATTTTAAAACATTTTAGAAACTTACAGTTGAGGTTTAAGTATTAACTGCAGCTTTAAAACACACACACACACACACACACACACATTATGGCCTGCCTGAATTCTAATTAAATGAAAAGAGCAAGGGATTAAAATGATAGGATTACAGGACATGGTTCATGATTGGTTTAAAATGAAGGAAAAAAGTGTTAGTAATTTAGCCTGTGTCAGTTATAGCCAGATCGTTCAGCACACACCAGCATAGCATATGAACAAGGACCAAAAATATGGTTACATTTGAATGTGATACTGCTTCTATGAAAGAGGGTGATATTTTGAATCAGTGGTAAAGGAAGGGGGTATCATATATTAACTTTAAAATGTAAAATTAGTTGCTGTTAATTTCTGAAAATATTCCTGGGGAAGAAATCAAACTAATTTAAATATGTGGAACTAATGAAGGTATTTTAATCTAAATTATCAGTATTTTTGCAGAGATTTTTATTCTTAATACTATTCTCTTATATTAACATTATAAGAGCACATATTACACTTTCCTCTATTTTAACCATATAAATTGACTTCATAAAGGATAATTAATGAAGAATCAAACCTATGATAAAAATTTTTGAAGGAATGGGAAATAAATTGGTTAGGATTTGTTTGTAAGCTCTCTCTTTTCAAATTAGCCCTAGTACCCTTTTATGGCATTAAAATGGGTTTGCTTTATGATATAATTTCCAGTATATGGTTTTAATAAAGTAATTAATTCATTTAGAATTAACTAGAGAACAAAACTGTGGAACCCTCATTTAGTTCAATGGAATATTTGTTCTTGCATAACAGTGAGATGAGATAGTGATTTATGAAAAATTGAACTAAAATCAAGAGAGAAAAAAACAATGTTTAGGGATTAAAATGAAAATTTTAATATTTTTGTTTCAAACTTTGTGTTGTATACCAAAACCCAAAAAAACACAAACTTACTGCTGTCAAGTCAATTCAACTCATAGTGAACTCTCCTTGGGTTTCTGAGGCAGTATCTCTATGGAAGTAGATTGCCCAATCTTCCTTCCAAGGAACTGCCAGCCTTCTGGTTAGCAGTCAAATGCCTTAGGCACTATGCCACCAGAACGTTATATGCTGGACTGTATATTACGGTGCATACTTAAGAGTCATAACTTTATTTTTTTCCAAATAACACTATGCTTGCTTATGTTTAGATTGTTTATAGTAATTTGTCAAGTAAAACATAGTCATTTATTCCACTTTAGCATGCACCGTAATGTGAGAGAAAAATAACTGACTTTTTGGATAAAAGATTAGAAATTCCTAATTTTCTCCTCTCCTTGGCTTGTCTCCTAAAGACTTGAGCACCCATGTTACTGAACAGTTTGAACATCCTGGGCTTTCTTCAAATGTTGGGTTTTGTATTTAAAACAACCATCAAATAAGCAGGCTTTTGTCTTTAGTTGGTGAGAGAGACCATGTAAGCACACAAAGCACTGTGCCAGACACATGACTAGTATTTCATGTATTTCATATGTTGTTGTTATTTCCTCTCGAGTCAGACCCGATTCTTAGCGACCCCTCCTTGGGTTTCCAAGGTGGTATCACTAGTGCTTGTTAAATCTGAAACTTGTATGTTTCTTAATTATAGAATTTTCATTGTCACAGTGCTGATATCATATACGGGAATGAGAAAAAAGAAAGCAATATCTGTGTTTCATTTCTCATAGTCACTTTGTTCTACAGATTAAATAGGTATTTATTTTGTTGAGTTTAGACTCTTTGTGGCTAGTGGTTTGAAATCTTATCTTACCTTGTGTGGGTAAGTAATAATATTTGCTTATTAGTGTCTTGCTTTTCACTCTTTTTTTGCAGCAAAATTCTGAATTTGTTTTCTTTTGTTTTCTGGAAAGCTGAAAGTAGAAAACTTTTTCACGAACAAGAGGTTGAAAAATCCCTTGTCACCCTTTTGGGTTCTGAAAATGATGGAACTAAAATTGCTGCCTCCCAAGCTATTTCAGCAATGTGTGAGAATTCAGGCAGCAAAGATTTTTTCAATAATCAGGGTAAGCAAACTGTGAAAACATATTCTGAACAATTTTAGGTTACTACATTCTAGTTTGCACTAATGTTTTTAAAGTCACATTTTACCTATCTTTTTCCATAGGGATTCCACAGTTAATTCAGTTGCTAAAAAGTGACAATGATGAGGTAAGGGAAGCAGCAGCTCTAGCCTTGGCTAATCTGACAACTTGCAATCCTGCTAATGCAAAGTAAGTACAAAAATACTCAACACTGACTTGTTAGGGGATATTTTATAGTCCAAGATGTTTTCATCCTAATATTTTGGCTTGCAAGGTAGTCTATATATTCTTTCAGATGGTTTATCCTCGGTTATTACTCAGGATCCCCTATGAAGAGAGAGTCATCAGATATGTTTATTTTCAAAGGTATTACAAAATCTTGATTGTTTCTGGGCTTGTTGGGAAAATGGGAAGGCCATTTGATTCAGCCTATAGGCTGGCTAACTCTTAATGCAGATCCAGTACAATTAAAGCAGGATAATGCTGGAAACATTAGAGACAACATTATCTTAACATTTGATAAATCTAAAACAACTTTCAAAAGCCCATTTTAACAAGCACATAAATTTCAGATAAATCTGGAAACATTTTAAAAACTCAATTTAGAAACAAATACTAGGAGAAATATATGGAGAAAACTTAAAGAAAAGAAATGCCTTTTGTATTCTAAGCACTGGTGTACAATTTATATTTATTTTTAATTTTAATTCTCATAATCACTTAACAAATGAGGAAATTGAGGCTCTGCAAGTTTTCTAGTTTTCCTGGGTATACGTATTTATTAAAAGAGGCAGCCAAGGAATTACACAGAGGTCTGTGGGACTCAAAAGGTTATTTGTTGTTGTTTTGTGCCGTCGAGTCGGACCCAACTCATAGCGACCCCTCCTTGGGTTTCCGAGGCAGTATCACTACGGAAGTAGATTGCCCCATCTTCCTTCCGAGGAGTGGCTGGTGGGTTTGAACCGCCAGCCTTCTAGTTAGCAGTCAAGTGCCAGAGCTCCCAAAAGGTTATAGTCTTTCCTATAAAAGAGGTAAGACTGTTTCATAAGGCAGCCAGAATTTCCTGAAGGCAGCTTTCACAAAATCGTTATCTGCCCTCCCTGTATCTCATTTTGTCCTTTAATTGTTAACTTTCATATGTTGTTTTGTGACATCGTGAATAAAAGAATTCTTTTCTAACTTGAAATAAATCCTGGCTAAGACATTTGCCTGCTAACCAGACGGCTGGCGGTTCAAACCCACCAGCCACTCCTCGGAAGGAAGGTTGGGCAATCCTACTTCCGTAGTGATACTGCCTCGGAAGCCCAAGGAGGGGTCGCTATGAGTCGGGTTTGACTCGACGGCACATAACAACAACAACAACAACCACATATATAATCTATTTAACCTTTCCTTCCCTTTCTCTACTCCCACACAAATATTTTCTAAGGAAAGCTTAATGGAATGACTAAAAATCTAACAATGCTCAATAAAAATATGGCAAAAATACATAAGCACCAAAACAAAACTGTGCTCCTTCAATAGCTATGCTCTGATATGGCAATTTCCTAAATTAAGGGCTATCATCATCTGTATAAACATACACATGCTTCTGTAGTATTGAGTCATAGTAGCATTCTGAAAATAGCATATTCAGTGATTTTTTTTAGTACTGTCACGCCAGTGCAAAAATCTTATCACTGACATTAAAACATTTCTATCTTCAATGCATTTAGATTTATATATTATCTACTTCTGTAGAGATATTGCCTCAGAAACCCAAGGAGTGGTCACTATAAGTTGGATCTGACACGATGGTTTTTGGAGACTTCTTTAACAGGCCTCCAGAGTGTACAGATCTCTTGTTTTTGTTTGGAGTTGTCTGGTTTATATCATACCACAGTTTTATAGAAAATCAGAATGGTAGATAATTACAAAAGAGACTGCTTTCAGATTTTCTCTTTCAATTTAATTATTTTACTGATTTTATCATCTGACTCTAGTTTTGTTAATATCGATAAATCAATTTTGTTAACATAGAAAGGTCAGTTAGGACTGTCCATTCTGGTATTTTTTTCAGTTTGTTTTTGGTAAGGAAAATGGACCGTAAGTGAAAGTGGTTTTCTGAATGTTCTTTGGGGTCCATATAATTTCTTCTTTGGACTTTGTGAACTAAAAAACAATGAAAATGTTTTTGAGGGGAAAATGGAGTCACATTTGGTATAAGTGGAGTTTGACTGGATTTGAAAAAGATTTCTATAGTCAGTCAAAAGGAATGAAAACAAACCACAATTTGTAGACCCATCTAACAGACCTCCTATAATATTAATTACTAAAGCCAAACACAACAAAATAGATAACAAAGATGGCTGCTTATTTTTAATAAAAAACACTTTCCATTCAGATATTCCTTTTAAAATTATTTGCTTAAACTCAGAACAGTTCAGTGTTCCCAGCATCACTTCGTAGAATCAGTCCATCTGATCAGCTCTCTTGGCAGGTGTGCTGTGACTGAGTCTGACTCTGGCTTTGCTGCTGGGGTGGCTGGAGGGTTAGAGCTTTCTAGCTGCTCTTCAACTACATATAAGTAGTGAGGAAAGGAGGCCATTAAGAAGCAACAACTAAAGCTGAAGTCCTCCATGTGCATTTGGTAGACATTTGCATATCTGATCATTGCAAACCCTATTAATACAATTTTGTGATTGTTAAAATCACAAAATTTCCTACACTCATATCTTGATGTACCTTAAGCAGATTTCTAAGTGAAACTCAGGACACCTTCTGGAGCAGGAGGCACATTTTATGAATTGAATAATCACTGGTATGTTATAGTAACATATGAGGCTGGTGTAATTTCCTCTTCATATATAGTTGCTATGAATTGGATTTGACTCCACAGCAACAGGTAATAGATTTTTGTCTGGAAAATTATGGGTTAAACAAAATTTTCTAAATTGAATAATCACTAGTGTGTTATAATGACATGATGCTGGTATGATTTCTTCTAGGTAATAGATTTTTACCTGGAAAATTATGGGCTAATCAAAATTTTCTAAATTAAAGAAAAAAAATCAACCTAGGGAAAAAGAAACATACTTTGTTGTGACACTGTTTTGTAACTTAAATGTTTTTAATTAAAAATATTTTTACAAGCTGAAAATTGAATTTTATCATCTATATTTAAAACAGGGAGCTCTGGTGGTATAGTGCCTAAGACATTTGACTGCTAACCAGAAGGCTGGTGGTTCAAACCCACCAGCCACTCCTTGGAAGGAAGGTTGGGC